TGTGTTCGATTCCCACACGAACCTTTTTTTTTATTTTATTTTTATAAGGCAGTTTAGTTGATAAAAAAAAAAAAAAAAGTCGCCCTATTTACACGATCTTTTGTTACTTTTTCGCCAGTGACATCATGGTAAAATCGTATATAATCAATCGCCTATAACTTCATAAAAAAAAAGCCAAAAAAACGATTTTAAGGTTGATTCTATTATTAATGGCATATCAAAAATTCTCTCTAGAACAAAAAATCATTTTGCTAGTTCTCTTTTAAGCTTGTGTATCAATAAATTTCGTTAGTCTAAAGAAGGTGCTACTGCTATACTAATATGGCTTCTACTTTTATTACCAGTTTAGAAAAGTTTCTTTTGGCATTTGTTTAAATTGCCGTACTTGTGCCAATAAGTGCCCTGTTTGAATAAGCGCCCCTGGATTCCTATCTAAGCAAGGAACCCTGCAATTATCCTGCTAATCTGAATTGGCAGATGGCCAACACAGCACTAATTTCATCTGCTGTTGTGTAAATACCCCAACATTCTTGCCATGAACCATGCTCTCTCAACGATTACCCTTTTTTCACCAAAACCATTCGTTTATCTTCATTTAAAAAAAGTTTCCCTTGAATTTTTAAATTTCCCATAAGCACCCCTTCAAATTTCATCTATTTCCAGAAGCGCCCCTCAATTTCCACTCTGTTTTCATAATCGCCCTGTTTGAATAAGTGCCCCTCCAGGGCTTGAAATTAACTTTTTTTCTTGGTAGCACTGCCAAAATTTTCTAGCACCCCCAAAAAAATTTGGTGGGACAAGTAATTTTTTTAGTAGCACATATTTCCCCATCCTTTTCGCATCCCTTAAGAAAATAAGCGCTGCGCAATATTTTATTCTTTATATTTCCTAACAAACCCCCAGCCACCCACACCTACACTGTCCTTTATGGATTATTATGCAAGAAAGAAGACATGAAAGAAAAAGAGAAGAGATTTTTAAAAATTAAAAAAAAAACAAGAAAAATAATAAATAAGAAATAACAAAAGGAAGGAAAGAAAAAGAAAGAAAGAAGTAAAATGGTGGAAAGAAAATGACAATGAAAAAACTAAAAGAAAGGTAAGTATCAAAAATGAAATAAGAAAAGGATGAAACAATATTAAAAAGAAAAAAAATATTAAAAAGAAAAAAGATATTAAAGGGATAGTAAAGAAAAAAGGTGCAAGGTAAAAAATTCAACCTAACTGGAAGGTAGGGAAAGTATTTCATGGAAAGTTTCAATTGTTAGGAATATTTCTAAGAAAATTACAAATTTCTGTAAATTATTAACAGATATACACAATATAAAAAAGAAAAACATGAGCAGTAATAATGTGCTAGCTAAACTGTCTAGTCAATGGACTGCCGAAATCTGCAGTTAGTGGATTGATATATTGATTATAAAATTATTAATTATTATTACTGAAACATTAATTATATTTTCTGTACACTTTCTTTAAAATTTTCTGTATTTTTCTTCATTTGTGCAGGAAATTTCGAGAAAATAGGTCCGCAGAATCGCATTAACACTGCAAATGCCTATACATTGGTTACAATAGCCACCGGCCGACTTTACTGTAACATTTGCGCGGAAATTGGCAGACTTATTTTTAATATGCGTGGATGGAATTTTTTCTTTAAGAGATAACTCTATATCAATTTACACATAATAATTTCAACCTAAACAGAGTTTTAGAGTTTTCACCAACATTTCGGGAGTGGTGAGATTCCAGTTCCACACTTGTCAAAGGCCATTTAGGCTTCGTTTTATGCCCGAAAAATTGGCATCACACAGTCGGCCGGCGACACTTCTTATTTAGGTTATAATGTAGCTTACAACATTAGGCCTGGGCCTGTACAACTTCAGCAAAGTATCTTATACCTACATATATAATGATTTATAGTTTCATTTTCTTGTTCAATGGTTGTTTTTATTGAGAATTATTTACAAAGGTTTCACGAAGTAACATATCCCAAACATTGCAAGTTACCCCGAATGATGTAATATCCCAGCATTCTGATTGGTTTACAACTTGCAATGGACTCAACATACCTTACTCGCCAGCCGGTGTAGTCAGGCGCACACGTGGTTTGGGATGTTACTCCGTGAAATATAGTTTTGTAATTGGAAGGTCTGCTACCAGTTAGTTTGATGTTGTTTTTTTGTTAGGTTTTTTGTTGTTGTCAAAACAAGAAACATTCCTTGTAGAATTATATATTTTTTATATATCTTATAGATTAAATTAACCAATTAATTCAATTGTTGCACTTTATTAATTCCACGTTTAAAATTTAATCTTTAAATATCATTTATATACAACTCAATTTTTATATTATTTCAAAACACGATTAAACAATCATTTTGCTTACTTTCCGCTGATACTTTGTTAAGAGCGAAATACTGTAAATTGTTTGATGGAGGCCATTACTAGTTGCCTATGAAATAACTCTGCTTTCCGTCTACTGCATTCAGTGAGAAACGTTCCCAATTCCAGGCTCCTCCTGGTAGACACAGACACCGAGGTTGCCAGACACAAAGTCATTTGACTCTTTGTACGCCGCCAATACGAACAAAAGTAGGTCAGAAGCCGACTGGCTCGTTCAGTAAATAAATGGTAGTAAAGGAGTTGCTTTCTATATTATTTCATTTAATTAGGTTTCAAAATTTGGTGTGAGACCTATTTGTTTGTTTTTTTGTAAATTTCAAGATGTTGCTTATTTGAGATGCATGTTGTTAAGGAAACGTTCACAATTACGAGGAGGTACAGGTAAGAGTAGCACTCAATAAAATAGTAAAAAATCGTGCAATTCAATGTTTTCATACCAGTCTCCTTCGCTTTGACGGTGATCGTTCATTTACCAAGAATAAGATGAGCGCACATCGACACGGTTTTAGTGTACGACGTCACACTTTAACAGTCTAGGTCATGCTGATTGGTTGATACAGTACATGTAAAATGAATAACATGTTTCGCTTTTGTTAAGTTTTAGGCTCCTCAAAATTGCATCGATTGGCTTCACTAAAACCACTAAAACAATGAGCAAAATAGTGTGGATTGGCTTCACTAAAATCACTAAAACATTGAGCAAATCAGCTACAGTATTATTGTAAAAATTAGTGCAATATCACAGTAATCTAAACCAATGGTAGGCACTGAACCAAGGAAATCATTGGATACCTGGTTCAATCACTTTGCTTCTCACTTCTCACTGAACTTAAAATTCACATCTTCTCCACTCTTATTCACAAGAAAAAAATAGATTGACCATCAACTAACCTGACATGTCCACTTGAAGCGTTGCCTTGCGCCGTGTCTCTCTTTTCAATGTAGACTGCGTAATTATTCAATCCTCGGTAGATCTTATCATCTTCTTTACCTTTTAGTTCCTTTAAACAAAGGGATGACATTTAAATGAGAGCTGTACGTTTTTTCAACCAAAAATAAAATATAATATCATAAAAACACTCCAAATAAATTTTTATTAAATTTCAAAGAATATGTAACATTCAAAATTTTTTACTTGAACAAGCAATTAAGTTTATCTGTTTAGTATGTCAAGATTCAAGATGACTATCATCAGTGCATAATGTGCTGTGCATCATTTTGTATAATATTACCTCATTGATTTTCTTTTGTTTCTCAAATATTGCTCTTGCATCAACATTGCTTTCGGTATCAATTTCGATGGTTGATGTGGCTCCTCTATCATCAGGTCCTTCAGATTTCTAAAAAAACAATACAAAAATCTCATGGAGAACACTATTAAATCAGTGTTGAGAGCAGCTTAGCTCAGTCGGCTAATCTGGAGGTAGCCACTGTGTGTGCGCTGAGCCGTGGAAATCTCTAGGTCCCCAGTTCAATTCCATCGCTGCCACTCCTTGTGTTTCAGACGGGGGCTGAAATACAAGTTACAATAGCGCACCGTCTTTCGGATGAGACGTTTAAGGCGTTGGCCCCATGTGCATTTATGGCCCATGTGCACGTTAAAGAACACAGTACACACTTCGGAAAAGAGTAGGGGATTGTCTCCCGGTGTACTGCCCAATCAGCACCAGAAGGACCCCACTTGAAATATGTCTTCTTCTAGACTTTCGCAGGCTATCCTTGGTGTTTACACCAAAAATAAATCCAATCCAATCCAATCAAACCCTTAATTTAATTTTGTGATGTCAGTCTTCCTAACCTCATTATGATACATACCTGATATATTGAAATAGAGGGGCTGAGAAATTCAATTACATAATTCATACAGATGGAGGGTTCAGACCACTTCAGCCCCATGGGTGAGGCTGAGGCACGTCAAGATGGCTGAAAATGGCACTCACAGACTAAAAATTTGAATGCAATTTTTTTTTGCCTAATTTTTTAACTGTGAAAAATTTAGTGGGAGAAACCCGGCTGGCTGGACCAATTCTATAAGTGTTGCATACTCATGCATAATCAAGAAATCAATCATTTACATGTTTTTTTATATCCTATTGTCTATGTTGTCAGTAATTATAAACATAATTAAAAATTACATACTGCTGATCGTGTAGATTTGTAATTGACTTGAACTCCTTTTTCCTCATCACTATCGTCGCTGTATTTCACTTCTTCTCGGAAAGTTTTTTTTGACTGTAAACAAGAAAATCAAAATGAATTTTTATTCACCGAAAAGTAAAATATTTTGAATACTATTTTAAAATGAAGGTCCTTCTACCACAAAATATGGTGTGGTGTACCATATCGTACTTTGAGTCAAACTGGAACAATGTAATGGTCAAGGTTCAACATCTATATTCAAGTAATGACTAGATTTATTTCTGAAATCTGATCCTCCTTATTGTAGGTTTAAGAAATAGTGAAGTAGTGGCTTTCAATCAAAATTAGCATGACATAGCTCTGTTTTGGTAGGTGTACTTGCGGATCAAATTCTCAAATTCTATGGAACTTCTACGGGTACTATGGAAATTTTTATTATTACGGACATACAGTTATAAAAGTATACTATAGAAATATATAATTAGGCCTAAACTTATAAATACTGTAATGTCCAGGACAATGAGTTTCCATCAGGGGCTTTACATACTGTACTTGCTTCAAGGTAAATTTGTTCCTGGACTACTCAGACTTGTCAGATTACTGATAAATTCTTTTGAAATATGCAATAAATGTGAGCCATATCTTCACCTTCTCTGTTTTTTTTATTTATTTAATTTTTTTTGTTTTTTTGCTGAACATTTACATCCTGTTAATAATATTTTAATTTTGAGCAACCTGTATTTTCAAAGTATTTAAGTACTGTGGAAATTTTCCATTTAAAAATCTGAGATACTGTACATACAGTAGTTACTGAAGAAATGCATTTCACAAACTTGAGAACTCTGATATTGATAAGCCATAATGTGGTGGTATTATTTTTAATTTAATTATTAGACTGCTGCCAATTTTTACTGAAGAAGTTACCTTCTGAATCATTGGGTTACTTAGTCCAAGCGCCTTTTCTCTTCGCACTACTGATGATTCACCATCATTGTCTTCAAACAAAAAGAAAAAGCTTAGGCTTACTAGGGCTTAGGTCTTAATTGCCCGTTAAAAATATTAATATTTATAAAATATTCATTCACATTTTTTTCAATGAAATGACATCACATACCATATCAAATTCTGTAGCAGACACACCTCATAAATATGTAGGCCTAGCCTTAGTTGGATTAAGATCGGCATCTTAAGTCACATTCAGTATTACAGATATCAGCTAGGCCTAGAGCTATCCATTACTTGAGTTCTCAATCGAGCAGCAGGGAGCACCGCGGGCGGGCTTAGTCTACATGATCCGGTCCTCTAGGCTAGGCCAAGGAAGGCCTAGCTATAACTTACAACCTCAAAAAATAAAATTAATACCTTCATCACTGTCGCTAACCTTCCTTTTCCTTGCTGTGGCTTTACGACTTTTCTTTTTAAACATGAAAGTACAAACTTCTGCTTTTTGATCCCCCTGTTCTGCCATAATAATGATCCGAAACTAAGGTCTCTTTCTGCGGTGTATGTATTTTACAGCTTGATTGGTGTTGCCAGACACAATGTTTGAAATAGTAGTGCAGTAATAATATTTTAAACAACTTTGCAAAGAAAAATATTATTTTTAATCACATAAAAATAATAAAGTACAATATTATTGTTATATATGTATACAATTTATGTCAATAATAAAAGGTACCAGTACAAAAATGAAAAGTAATTACAGTAACAACAATACCCTGGCAATGTAGACTTAACCTTTTAAATCGGAGCTATCCTGTGTCTGTTGTTATTGATCCCGTTGCCGTTCATGGAGGATGACCATCGTGGGCATTCAATCATCTTGGTCGGCCTGTGGTGACCAATTGCTAGACAATTTACTTTATATAAACAGGTATGAATAATATCTAGCAAGGAAATATCATATACGTTTAGATTAACCTGACTACCCACCCCCAGAGAGGCAGAATCTAACCTGGTCTGGATTGCTAACGGTCTTGAGTGAGGCTTGATCATGGGCTAGTCACGCCTACACTAGCTAGTAGTACTAGGCCCAGGCTAGTACTACTACTACTACTACTACAACTAGTGGAGTAGACTGAGGGACCTTGTCCTCGATGGAGGCAGGACGGATAAATGAGAATAGTTATACTGAAAAAAGGCCAAGTTAAGCACATTAAAATTGAAAATTGACCAAAACAATTATTAACTGTAGTTTAAGCAAGTATTCCATACAGTATACAACTTTGACTTTGTAGTGCAATATAGTACTACACAAGTTATTTATGTTAATAGTTTTCTGTAGAATTGTGAATTATGTGTGTATTTTGATCATACAACTGATATAAAAAGTCTAGGACTAGCTATGTTTCCACAGTCAAATATTTATGATTTCATTTTTTTCAGACTACCTTCTGAGGAAATTGAAATGTGTCTCCAGTCAACTGAGCTTCGACCAGAAAATTTATCCAGCTCAGAACGATGCCAAATTGTGTTAACTATTCATAACAACATGGCATTAAATGAGCTATGTATTTGGTGTAGCGCTCGGCATATAGAAGTTTATGAGGGTCATGATTCCTATTTAGAAACGGTTAAAGGAAAGGCCAAGCAATCTAATGGGAACAATTTGTACTGGCATTCGTTCGTATGTGAGAGACCATTGGATAATATCACACTAAAGGTATAAATAAGGCCAGAATATTAAATACAAAAATATTTTTAAAACTTGTCCCCTTCTCTAATCTTTTAATCAACTATGCAAAATTCCAAACATCCTATACAGAACAATTAGTTCATGTGTTCCCAGGCCTGATCAACACCTATTTTAGTAGCTTAAATTGGATTATTAAAACATAACAGACTAAATCATAGCGCTTACTAATTATACTGTATATTCCTATATATTTATAGTTTGTTTCATTGCAAAAGAAAGAGAAGCTAGAGCTGACTGGTATCTGGCTTGCGTTGGAGCAGAGCCATCATGTACCCGACAACAGTAAGCTAGTAAATATGGAACAAGTGGATCGGATGCTGCTTACTGAGCAAGTGGAGACTAGTGCAAGTAGAATCTATATATTCAACAATTGTAATTACATTAGCATTACAATTGACCTTTCTGCTATGCTCACCCATTGGCATTGTAAATGTACGCATACATTGCATTTGTGGGACAACATGTGTGGTTGTGTGACAAGTGGTATTCTGATTGGTCAGTTGTTAAGTCTTATTGACACTCTGAAAAAGTGTTTTGTAAATTTGATTAGTTTTCTATGTGGAGAAACACTGCGAGTTAATTCTTAGGTGCTATACAGATCCTTATTATAGTACTGTACTCTTTTTTTTTACAGGGCCAGGCTATGTTGCGGCAGCTGATCTCATCCCTTCCAGCAAACCCGCCCCCCTCTACCACACCATCACAGACAAACCCTCTTCTCCCCATGATGCTTCAGATGTTTACAAAAAGTGCTACATCACAAGCACCAGAGGCTAGGAAAATAAATACACTTGAACATTTTGCCAAACAGCTGCTATGCGATCAAGCAAGTAAAGACAAATCAGCTAAGATAGGATGCGATGATGATCAAAATTTAAGCGATAAGTTGAAATCGGTAGAATTTCATGAAGAAAAATATTCCAGTGAAGCAACATCTTCAGAAATGGAAAAAGAGGAAATAAACAAACAAGCAGTGTAAGTATATCATGCATAAATATTAGATGGCTAACATTTAATTTATATAAATTAGCTGGTAACAGGACTTATCCAGGATTTTTTGTTAGGGGCTACCAAAAATTTCTGATGGTTTGTATCAGTTAAGAGCTACCTCAGCCCCACCATGTGAGTATGGTTGATAGACTAATACTTTCAGAGGTCTTGAATATAAGTTTTAATTTTGGCCAACTTATATTTCCTACAGTAGTAATATAAAAACATGCATGTTGCTAGCCCCTTCCCCCGGGAAATCACTGTAAGCTTTTTGTTGTAAAAATTCTGTAAATCAGTAAAATCTGAATTGTTTTACAGTGGTGATAACATATTTGGTACTTCTATAGGAGCAAAAGATTGTCTGTATAGTATTGCAACAAAGTTGCAGGTGACAATTGAAGTTAACAAAAACATACCATTAATATGTACTGAAATGTGTCAGTACATTTTGTTGAAGTCTCTGAAAAAGGCCCAATTTTCCCCTATATCTTCTGTAAATTGTACATAAAGTACTGTATAAGTACAATACTGGTTTTCAAAGTCTTAGTTGTTGAGTGTCCTGTAATAAATAATCAGGGAGGGTTACAAGAAGTACACTGTAGAAGTCTATTATTGTAACCAATCTGCTGCAGAAATGGTGGGACAACCATTTGTTATACAGTAACCACTCCTGATATTTCTAGTACCTATATTTCCTTCCCAGATCGACAAGCTCAGTAACATGTTCCTGTGGAGCAAACCTAGAAGCCAGACTAACAAGGGTGCTTGAAGAGATGGAAACACGTTTACAAGCCAAGTTCCAAGAGATGGATGACTATCAGCATCACATGGACAGGAAATTCCAGATGCTGGAAAATAAATTTCAAGACTTGATGAAAGAAAATGACTCTTTACACAAAGGAAATACATGACATATTCTATGGAATAGCAGTGAATTTATTCATAGGCATATTTCAAGGAAATATTTTTGGAGAATTCAGGATACAATCAGTTTTGCTTTAAAGTACTGTATATATTATCCCTTTATGCAACACATTAAAAAGCAATTTTTAACTTACTTAGTGTATTCTAATATTTGAAACATTCTGTACATTGGTCTATTTAAGCCTTTGGAATGAAGATGGCAGGACTTCAACCCAGGACACTGAGATTAGAAGGATTGGTGCTAAGCTAACAATGTACAATACTTGATGTTGACAAACAGCAGCTATTTCAGTTTAGTTTAAATTTTGTAGTACAGGACAAACATATAATTCAATTTTTAAATAGTGGTTTAAAAACCTAAATGGCAGTAGTCACAGAATATTTTTTCCAGTTAAATTACTGGGCATTAAATACATCGTTTTAATACCAATTATACAAAATCACTATTATTTATACAAATTTACATAGCTATTATACACATCAGCAGTCTCATATTTTTCAGTCACTTCTTGCACAAATTTCATTAGCTCAAGTGAACACATTTTGTATTAGGATGATTGCACAAACACTTGATACTCTAAAATTAGATTACAGGGATCTATTTGATCACGGACCAAACGAACAAATGCTAATCACCATACTAAACAGATAATAATAATTAATATGTACCCTCGGTACCTAACAGAGATAGCAGGATATAGTGTGGTCATAAATTTAATCAAGAATGATTATTAATCTGTTAAATGATGATGTCAAGGATTCTGATACAAGCTTTTTCTTTAATACAAAACATGTTAGGTTTTTAAATTTTCATTCCTTGATTTTTCAGTTATTCTTAAAATCAATAAGATGATTAGAAAGATGGCGGAGGATAATTTTGGTTTAATGACCATCTAATCGTGGATAATGATCTTTAGGGGATGATCCTGGGGTTAGATCCGGAGGAGTGAGCAATGAGAGATCATTCCATGTGTGCTTAGACAGGGCTTGTTCTGAGCTCGAACCTCGGAGGCCTGATTCAGGACCGTCTACATTGTCCAATGAATTGAAGTCCAGGCTTTTGAAGAATTCGGGGAAATCAAACGAACGGTTTTCCGTTGGTGACGGCAAGGCGCTTGAGACATTCGATGATGGATTGGATGAGGATCTGCTTAAGAGCGAGGCTTCACCGTCTTTATACACCAAGGTGGTTGGGAGAACACGCTTCGGAGTAAAGGTATTCAGTTTGAAGGTGCTTGGTGGCGGTGTTTCAAGATTGGTTCGGCACGAATTTAGGCTTGTGACTTTCTCAAGGAAATAATCAACCTGTTTCAGTGACAAAGAGTTGTGTAAGGTTTCTAACGGTCGTATTGATGGCATTGATGCTCCATTGTCAAATCCTGCATGGAAGAAAATACATGTATGGTTTCATTCTGCAGTATTGCTTTCTGTTTTAATCTTATTCTGCAATTATATACTGTATTTATGTAATATAAAAAAAGTAAATAGGAACAATGGTAAAATTAAAGAAAAGGCTGAGGCTAGAGGACAGTGGTGATTGTATACTGTATATATATAAAAAAACATTTTTAATCAAACTTTAATTTTCTTCTTTTAAAAAATTGTTATTTATTAGATTTTATTGGAAGGTGGGCGGTGGTTGCTCTTGGAACTGTGCTTTTTTTCAATCACTGACATTTAAGTTGACTTACCTGGAAGAATACTGAATTCAGTAAACCTCCTTTTGTATGCGCCCTCATTTTCATGACCATGGCTTGGCAAATCGGGTACGCTGTGAACGTTTAACAGACCCTTGCTGAACAGACTTGTTTGAGGACCTGGAGATAAAAAATTGTAATCTACGGTATTCAATTACTTTTTTTAAATTGACAAGTACATGAAATGAAATGATATGTAAAATATGATAGAATAAAGATAATTAGAAAGTAAATGTCCAAAAAGAGAAATATCATGAAATTAAAATATTGTAAGGAATTTTAATAATATTTACCAACTTGCGAATGCTTATCATCTAGAAAATCACGACTAAAAAACTTTGGTGGTGTTCCTTCATTCCGAGGAGGTGGTGTGCTGTTATCGGAAGTTTTTCTTTCTCGATTGGCAACTGAAATCTCTGGGTAACTCTTCCTCCCTCTGTGAGGGTTGATGAAGTTGGTAGGAGGAGAGAAGCCTACTTGTTGGCTCTCTTCTTCCATTGGACTCATGCAGAACACATCCTCAGCAGCGCTTACAAGGTCGTCCATAGAATCAACTTCAACGTCTGGGACTGCAGCCTAAAACATAATTAATATTTTTATATATTATATATTGTGTTTTCCTTGATAAATGCACCTTTTACATTGCATTGTTGACATGCTGCCAAAATGCTATGTTTTGGCCTTAAATACAAATTTGCTACAGCCCCCTATCTTTGTTTTTGCTGGACACTATCAAGCTCTCCACAATCATTGGACTTGGTTATAAGGTTTAAACACTGGATTTAGTGGCTTACGTGGGCCTAAATCAAGGCATTGCTAATAAAAGAAAAAATATTTCAGGTAAGATAAAATATGTGTTAAAAACTTTAAACCAGATGCTCAGAAACGGCTTCTGCCAACTTGAAACCATGAACTTATCATTCATTACACTTCAATGATTATTTAGTAATTACAAAATAATGATCAGCGAAAACCTACCTTGCTCCTACTATAGCTAGGCCGAAAGCCACAACTCTCCGGCACTTCAAAGTTATCCTCGTAGCCTCGTGCCCCTGGGCTGAAGTGCAATTCAACATGGAATCTATCCTCTGATGACGGGTCTTTCTTGGGGTCCTCGTACAGCATGATAACAATCTGTGACATATAGTTTAGTTCTCGCACTGCGCTCAGGTATTCCATGGCGCGTTTCCACTGCGGGTCGCTGGTTTCCTAATTACATAAAATAAAATAAAACAGAATTATTTTTTCTTTCTTTTTTTCTGTCCCAAACAGTACAAACATACGGGCATGACAAGGGTCCAAAACAAGTTAATTTTATTATCAAACTTACATCACACAAGCCGCCATAGCGTATGCAAGATAGCAGAGAATGGATATGACTCTCACTCGTGAAATAAAGCCGAGAACGCACATGGCGATCAGGTGTCATCACATCACGTGTGTACCGTGGGTTCAAACGAGAGGTGAACTCCTCATCTTTAATGTTGCGCATCAGATCACCTTTAATCTTCTGGAGGAGTGGAGTACATATTCCAGTTCCAATATCAAGTTTATCTTTGGCTGTAATTCCATATTCCTTTAAAAAATGACAGTAAACACCAATATTGACTTAATTTACAATAATTGATATTCATTACATTACGGCAGATAATAAAGATTAACGTTAACAATATTATTATCATCACCATCATGTATCACTATTGTGATGCTGTTATTACTATGACAAACTTTTGTATCATCTCCAAATAAAACAATACCTTGATGAAGAATGGAATATTCCATTTACCTGAGGGATGATCACATCAGCCATTGCCTGTGCACAAGCATAGAGGCCCCAGAGGTCTTCACTCTCTATAAATGATCTATTATGCAGCATGTCGTATTTGACGCAGTCATATATGTCGGGGATCTTGGTGATGTCGAAGTGACTCTTCTTCTGCATAAAGAAATCTTTCTCAAGCTTAGCCCATCGTCTCAGCATTAACTCCAATGTTTCGTTATGGTAAAGTACTACACCTGTTGATAACAATAAAATAAATATCTTTTATTTCTCATGCTTTTAAAAAAATCCACAAAATACAGTAACACAAGGGTGAGCATCAAAGTGAATTTTTGATTTAACACTGTGGGCCGCACACCAACTCCAACATTTTCAGGAAAACCTTCACATACTGCTTTCATGCTCCTTTTTGCTAAGTTTTAATATTACTCTTTTCAGGCTATCGGAGTTGGGCTCTAAAAACAAGGGGTTTTCTAGCCAAAGATGCCACCAAGCCCGCATGTGGCCCATAGGCCGTACTTTGCCCACCTATGCACACTAGCAGATAAACCTTGGGATACACATTTAAATACAGTACACCATAACAAACAACCTGACAGAACCCAAAGAATAGATCACAGGACTACCACATGTCCCAGGTCTCCCACAACTCGTGGGAGTCTCCTGGAAATCGAGAAGGCCACCGGCACTCCAGTGAGCATGCGAGAATCTCTCAAATAATAATCAATCTCCTGAAAATTCACGATATTTGCATGTTTTTGCTACTGCATTACCAATGTCTCCCGGAAGTCACCACCATGCACAGTAAAATATAACTACATGATATGTTAAATAAGCTTATTTAAACAGGTCTCCTGGATGTGGATTTTTTCAACTTTGCACCCCTGGACTATACATTGATACACACAAACACAAGCACTCTCAAAACCCTCTGACTTTTGGGATTATCCATATTCTTACCTTTGGAGGAGGGATCTTGAATCTTCTGTTTAATCAAACTGATTAACGACCGAATAAGGCCAAGAATATGTTGGCATTTCTCAAATGGATTTTTAATGAACATCATTGATTCAGTGATTGACTTCTGGCCACATGGGTTCAACTGTAAACGAAATCAGATACAACAAATTAAAATGATTTGAAAATTAACTAATAAGTTTACAAATTACAAGATTATAAAAATATTGTGTTTATAAAAAGTCATCTTTAGAGAATGTGTTTTAATTGCAAATTTACCTTATCAAAATCTGATGCTTGGAACTTCTGGTTGCTGAACATGTCGTATAGCTTGGATTTCACTCTTATCAAAAAACAATAATATCAAATACTCAACATTCACCACCAGCAAAAACCTCCCCCTTTTTTTTTTAATAACAAATAGAAAGGATAACTAAAGTTAGCACCCAAACTGTAGTATGTGATTAACCAGGTAGATTATGCAAATGTACCTCAGTTGGTAGATGGTTAGTCTTTAACTTCTCAGGCCCAGGAAATGAAACTGATTTTGTAATAATATTCCACTAACAAAAAACAACTGAAGGAGAATATTCTGAAGACTTACTTTCCTTGCAATGATATGGATTCCTTATCATGGTCCAGGAGTCCGGTAGTGTTGGCACTTTTTACCATCTGCACTAGAATTGGTGTCAACTCCCCCTCCAGTGCCAGCATACCCTACAATTTGTATTTAAATAAATGAGATTCTGTCTCTTGTGCATGAAAATAATTAGATATTTAAGAGAATGAGTGACATGGACAAATTTGGTTTGTGTTATTCATAAGATTGAAACACATTGCAGGGATAATTTTTTTTGGTTACGTTAGAATTTTGATGAGCTAATCTGAATGGAGTCTTCATCCAAATACCTACAGACCTACGACAGCACCGCGTATTATGGTCAGAAAACAAGGAGATAATCGACTACTCTTCAAAGAGTGTACCAAATTCTTTTTCTTCTCAATACATAGTCAAAATTATCAGTAATGAATGTAAAACGCACATAAATATCACAAAATACTGATATTATATTAGTGATTTTTGTAAAGAACATAGGTAGAAGTATGGATATATGGTAGTGGTGTGAAGTTTTGTGAGACCAATGTAATACAGTAACCCTCTAGACATGTTCACATAAATTAAGGCAGTCCATAAATTTAACAGAAGTCATACCTTAGTGAATGATGCAGCTGTCATTTGAACTCTGCCCTCATCTGATGCGTAGATTTTCAGGTCGTGTCGATACGTACTGTGGAGCCTCAACAAACCACAGCCAGGAAAACCAGCATAATCACCTGGACAGAAAAAATATGCTTAATTGTTAATTCATTACATGCTACAAACTAATTCTCTGCTACATTACATTTATGTACATGCTTATCACAATTATTGTATAACAATTTTTTTATTTTTTGAATGCTACACAATTCTGCACCTCATTCTGACATGCTAAACCTCCTTCATACTACGCCACATTTTAGGAATGTTACCTAAATTTTTTAATGGACGGTAATTTACATATTTGTAGCATCAGATCATTGATTACATACAAAAAACATGAACATGCTACAGCTTACTAAATGCATGCCACACCTATGGTATGCTACACATCATAGTACTCTTAATATTATGCTATCTTACATCTCATTCATGGAATGAAATCTTGAAAATGCTACACTAAAATTTTTGCTACACACTTACACTGTAGGTAAGGCATTTCATTGTCATGTGCTCCATCTTAAAAGAGATAAATGTAAAAATAATTTACCATAAACTTACCTGAGCCACCTGGGTAGATACACCTGAAAGCCTGTCCCAGCTCCTCAGCCTGAATCCTACCAGTGGGAGTCAATTCTCCACCCCATTTAAGAATCAATAATAGAGACGGTTCATTCCTTGGCTCTGAACAATAAATGAATAAAAGATTTACACATCATATTTCATGTACTACAGCAGTAGGCAGAACACTGAAAGGGTAATATATACCAGGGTCCCAAGTTGGAAGAAGTCTTAGGACTCCTGATATACTGTAGGTGGCATATGGTTAGTTATAAATGGCATATGGGTGGTCCATTAATGACATATTGTGATAATCCATAGAACTATTAGATGGCATGTTTGTGGCTCATAGCTAAATGAGAAATATGTGGTGCACAGATAATGTACGAATGGTTCATATGATGTGGTTGATAAGACAATACATGGATAATTCATAGATGCCACATGGGTGATAATTAGATGTTGCAAGGGGGTGAATAGAAGTAGCGTTGATGTTTAACAAATATATACATGGGAGATCTAGTATTGATACATTATTCTGAAGACTATATAAAAAAAATTTAAACAAATAAGAATGGTTGATATGGTACAGTGCGTCAGCATTAGCAAAAAGCATACACATACCAACAGTGCAATACCTATGTAATACTCGGTCAGTGGAAAGGCTGAGGAGAAGAGGTTACTGAGGCTAGTTAGGTATAAATATGATACAATTAGTGAGCAGCATTAGCAGAAATTAGTACTGAAAAGTGAAATACCCCATTCTATAATGGACATCTATGCTGGAGAAATGGGAAACTGTAATATTAGGAATGACCAGTAAGTTAATGAAGCGGGAGTAAAAATACTGTATAATTAAATTTGTGTCATAGAAAATGTAAGACTGGTAGATGGTACATTGATGGAGGATAAAGATTGTAAAAAAAAGTGTTATTTGGGGGTGTGGGAATTAATTTCAAATTGTAAAAGGTGAATTAATTGTAACACTGAAATAATAATGGGATCAAATTATGTATGACAACATGACACTGGTAAAAGGCTTTAAAAGTTTACATACTACATATACACACCAAAAATGTTTTATTACGAGAAAGGTTGTGGAAATTAATGAGTAACTATATTGATACATTTGATATATCATATGATTATTATTATCCGTTAAAACAACATTAGTTTGTTACTGATTGTCAGAATTGTGAAGCTGGTCATGAGATATATAAAAAGATGTGATGTTGAGACAGATATTTTAAGTTTGCCATATCAGAGAGGGTAGAGAGAATGAAAAGGAGAAGGGGAAAGAAAGAATTCCAAATTGGATGGAATGATACAATACATTAAAGAACTGTGACAATCTGACAAGAATATTGTGCAAAAAAACCACAATATATGCTCTAAGCTCTGTCTAGACACACTATTACCATGTGACAAAATACCTGTGATTTGCCCTTATATTTATTTAAACAATGTGTTGTGAGGGCTGTCCATCCACATGAAGCTAATCACTTGAAACTCTCAATACATACACATTTTTATTTATTTATTTATTCAGATTTAGATAAAAAATTACAGACAGACATCCAAAAGGCTGTATATGAATGTATTACAAAAATAGCAACGTTATACATGTACAGTTAAAAAACACCAACATTTAAGAAATTCACAGAGAAAGTACAGTATTACAAAAAAAGTTATACAGTTAAAAAAACACCAAAATGTAAAAAAAATTCACATCACAAAGAAAAAAAAAATTAAAATGGAAAAAAAAAAAGAAAAAAAGGAAGAGATAAAAAATGCATGTAAAAAACACAAATGAAAATAGAAAAAAAAAGAAAAGCTAAACACAATTTATGTAGACAGCCAAATTCTTTTATCTCTATAAGAGAGGGACTGTGAGCTAGCCAAACACAAGAATTAGCAGATGGGCCAATAAGAATGTCCAAGGTTATAATGAGTATCAGGCAATATATTAAAATATATATATATTTACAAAATGGAACTAACCGGAACCAAGCAAACGTGTCATATACGGTATAGCAGAGTTACAAAATCTATTTGTTCTACATTTTGGAACCTGCAGGTTATTAGAGTTGCGGAGGTTACGACTATGTCGTGAACTATTAGACGGAGGCAGAAATCGTCTAAATGTTTTGGAATTGAGTAACTGATTTGCAAACAAGATCAGAGCAGGCTCTGGTGTATGATTGGTAATTACCACGATTGATTATTTTTAAAGCACGTTTCTGGACTCTTTCAATATCATTACATTAATCTTGGGTAATAGAGGAGTGCTACACTGGTGCAGCATATTCAACTATTGGACGAATGTATATACAGCCACTAAATCCTCGGTTGAAGCATTAAATTTCCTAAGTGAAAAAAGAATGAACAAACTTTTGGAAGCCCTGCTGATAATGTCAGCCACATAGACATCCCACTTGAGGTTCTCTTGAATAGACACTCCAAGTAGTTTACATTGTTTAACAGATTCTATATCAAAACCACTAATTTTGAATTGGGATCCAGGAATAGGAGCACGGGAAAAATTTAGATTCATGACTTTACACTTAGAAGGCTTAGGGACCATATCATTGAGTGCACACCAAACATCCAAAGAATTAAGTTGCAGCTGTAGATCACCAGTTGGTGCAGTTTTAACATTTCCTACCTCGCCTAATGTTAGGTCATCTACATATTTCCATCGATTATTAGAATCAACCACTGCATTGTTGATCATGACAGTAAACAGCAGTGGACCCAGTTTTGTCCCCTGAGGGACACCACTTGAGGTATCCATACTGCGGGAAAATGTTCCTTTAAATGGGACCTTTAGAGATCTTCCACTTAAAAAGCTACATATAACCGGGGTAACGGAAGGCGCAATATCTAAATCAATAAGTTTCCTGATCAGAGTGTTGTGGTTGATTCTATCAAAAGCAGTTTCAAAATCAATTTAAGGTAAGTTAGGGAATTTATTGATAAACTGATGATTAAAGAATAAAGAATTTGATTAAAAGTAAATAATTTTAATTTTTAAAATGGGTGTAATATGACATCATCATGCCCATATATGGGCAAATCACAGATATTTGTCACAGAAAATTTGATAGTGTGGACAGACCTTTAGATTGAACTGTCACTGCAGATTCAAAGATTTACTGTCTGTACATACATTTAAAAAATCAGCTCTGAAAAATTCAATCAAAACAATGAATTACTCATTTAAAAGAATATCAGTTTGAATTTAGTTTCAGTTTTAATTAGTTTCAATTAGAAACCACCTCTAATTAAAGACCACTTTTCTGTGGTCCCAAATAAATAAACATCTTTTATTTTTATTATTCTAATTAGAGACCAAAACTGCTAAAGACCATGGAAACTCCGGTCCCAAAAGTAGTCTTTAATTGGAGGGAGACCTGTAATTTAAAGTTTTTGTTGAATTACAAAATTTTAGTCAATTTAATTTGGTTCTATAAAAATAATAAACAAATTGAATTGTATTATTTATGTATCTGTTAGGCCTACTTGAAAAGGAATATAATTTCTTATTCTAATTTTCTATTTAAAGTAAAGCAATTCACATATTGATTGTCATTTTTCTAGTTTATTAATAGCTAACAACAGACACTATATCTTCACGGTGAGTGCAAAAATCAATAACTGCTATATACCGACATGTTATTGTTTGTGGGGTAAATCAGAGAAATGCATCATCTCTCACCTGATACTGAAACAAGAAAATAATTTACAAGAACCAAAATCCAAAAGAAAATATTAAGAACATATGTTATGTGTCTATTATTAGTTCATTTTCCATTGTATATTTTTTGCACATCTTTAGGTAACAATGCATCGTTGATTACAGTATAATGTTAAATTACATACAAGCAGTTTAAAACATAAACAATGAATTTTTACCTGGTTTTGCCAGTTCTTTTTAACAGTTCATGAAAAAGGTAATAACAATAACTGTTATTATAATTTTTATTATTATAATTATCTATTATTAAAATATTATTAATATTATAATTACTTAGTATTATACTAGGATTTTCATTTAGATCAAGAAAAAAGTTCTAAATCATTTTTAATATATAATCTGAACTAATACTACCATGATTATTTTTAAATTGACATATTTCGTCATTATATTGATAAAGTAATAATCATAATAATAATAATAATAGAAATAATAATAATAATGTTAATAACAGCAGCAGCCGCCGCAGCAGGAGCAGCAGCAACAACAACAACAACAACAACAACAACAACAACAACAACAACAACAATAATAATAAAAATAATGATCTGTCATTCTACAAATTATTGTGTATAACTACTATTAGCAGTAACTGTACAATATAATATGTATATCATCCATGAAGGCAAAATAGGTTATTTGATCATATAACTTTATTTTATTATTGTCATCTTCTGAACTACCAGCAGCAGCATGCATTGGAGTCATTGTGATGAAATTTAAAGATTAAAAAAATATTTAGAATGGGTGCATATTTTGCTATAATTTAGTAATATTATTATTCCTTAATATTAGTGATGATTACTACAATAGCATTATTAAACATTATTCAACCTTGCAATATCCATTATTCTTATTAGCCAATCAAGAATATTTATTAAGTAATACTATAAAAAATAAATGGAACATCTAATCAAGATTAAAGCATGTATGATTTTAGCTACAATCATTCGATCTCGCATCACAAAGGTAAAGTATGATTTGAAGATTTTATGGAGTTAAAGTGCCGATGTCACTGTCAGTCAAGATAATATTCTGCTATTTTTGCTGAAAGTAATACAAAGAAACCTTAAATGTTGTGATATTATTAGCTTAATTTCACAAAGCATGATTAATTTCGAAGAGCATTTATTTGCATCTATCTCCCCTTCTCATTTGATTTAATTTTTGTCATTCAATTTTTTGTCTCTCTGAGTGACACAGCAGACAATATTGATAAGATTTTGATATTAAATACTTGTGTGAGACATCTAATAAACAAGTTTTCTTTTTACTTCATCAGACTAAAGTCAGAAACACAGCTTTGAGCTGACATGCCAGAAAGCTCATTCCTTTGCATTTCAAACTCTGCAATGCTGTAAATGTTTGCCACTCGCCTCACAGGTGTCTGTTTAACTTCAAAACCCATGTCGATAACCATAAACATAGACAAAGTCATTTGCCAACCACTTCCGTAAAATGTGATCAAACATCTGATGCCTATCTTATGAAAACAAATTTGGCAGTCAATGAATAAGTATTTGCTATCGAAGTCTGAAAAGATTTACAGTCAACTCTCCCAATACCGACCACCCTTCAGACCGTCCACTTTGACCGGTTTTCCGGACAAACCGGTTTAGAGAACGTCCGTTTACCTACCTTGGTTCCCCGACCTTGAGTCGATAATAAGCCTAGGCCTAGCAAGCTACAGCAGATAGGTACACCACACTGCATCATGTACTGTGTAGGCCTACTGACCTGAGAACGTCATTTAAAATTCATGTTTTACTTTATTTTTACATTATTTATGTTGTACGTACCTATTTTTTTTTTTGTGTCGAAGTCTATTATCAATAAAAATTTACACAAAAAAACTTAATGTGTATCGTAATTTATGTAATAAGTGTCAGTGTTATTTTTCATTCGATCGCCATAATCTGCTTCGCTTCAACGTGGTTGCACGCTTGATTGGTTTTCGATGCCGCTGGCATAACCTTGGTGGGTCACTGAACGCTAAAAATAAGTGCTAACTTATGCAGCACCCCCTAAACTGCGTCAGCAAATAGAAAACAGTCAGAGGTGACAGTCAAAGTGTCATGCGCAATTGTTTTTATGAAATCAATAGCCTTATGTTGGGACCGATTGGTTTGCCTTAGCGTGAGAATGAATGCAAAATGTGAGGATACGTTCCTCACATTTTTTATCAGTTTATTATACAAATGAAATCTAGGCTTATTGAAATTAATTAATTAATGCGCTATCGGCGTGTCACACGAGCAACACTAACGATCGTACACGTGGTGTTGTTCTGTGATTGATAGTTGTTATTTGGAGTTAGTCGATGTGTCTCCGATGATTTATTTAACATATTTCGTCAATAAATCATCTTTTTAAACCGGCCGTCCGGTTTTCAGAAGGTAATTTTATTGTTCCGGACTTAAGAATATGGCCGGAATTCGGAATTGGGAGATCCAGTTTTCAGAAAGTATTTTAATACAGTAAGAATATGAATGATCTTGAGACTTTAAAAAACGACCGGTTTTGCGTGAAATCCGGTTTTCTGGGTGGTCGGTATTGGGAGAGTTGACTGTACTAGATTGCCAATGCAAGCAGTGATTTTCAGATAAAAAAAACTGATTTATGTATTATGTCTGCACTTACCTTCTTCGCTACTTGAATGTTTTGGGTTTCCGTTTGGTTGATATTTCAACTGCACTTTGCGATTGATTCCTGAGAAGTGGCCGTACATCTCCAAGACAGCCTTCAGCTGTTCTAGCTTTGATTCTCGTTCGCATATCTCTCGTTTTTCGCCAACTTTTTGCCGCTGTAATTCCTCGAGGAGATACCTTGCAACATCCAGCACCTCCTGCAACTGTTTTGGCCGTTTTAATTTGATTTTACCTTTTGTCATTCCATCATACTTCTCAAATAGCTGGAAAAATCTATAGAAACAATTTTATAACTGTAATAATAATTCAAACAGAAACGCACAATAAGTAACAAGTATATGTTGTGATTGGAGATGCCAAGAGTTATATACTACAATGCTCGTGGAGTTATGATCCTATCCCAATGCATAATTTAGTTATGGTTGGTGTATGTGGGTATACTAGAATTTTAGTTAGGTAGCGACTACACAGTTATATTACGGTTGCTGTATGGTGGTTGCTAGAACGTTAGTCAATTAAGCTTTAACAAAAAGCATTTTTGAGTTTGATGGAATTTATTATGTAGAACATTACATTTCATTTACTTCAAAGCACAAACATCATTTTACAGAAGATGAATAAATTAATAATTAAAACAGAAAATAATTTATAGTATTTGAATATCTCATACTTTGGATGTTTGACTTCCATTTTCATCTTTTGCTTTGGTGTTCTGTCACCATGACGAATAACTGCAATTACACACCGCAGTTCCATCCTGAAAAAAGAACAACACAATGAAGATTTAATCTCCACCTATATAAATAAAATAGCTAAGAATAGAGTAATACTCCAGAATGGCTACAATCTTGCACCCTATTGGGCTAGTTACTTACCAAACCAAACGATTTAAAGATGCAAATTATTTTTATTGCAACTATGAACTGTAACACACAGAAGTTGAATTTACAAAAACCACCATGTTCTTTCACATACAAGGTTGTCAAGAAGTGGTAGGGTGGGGGTTTTGGGGTAATGTGGGATTATGCGATAGGGTTGTGATTATGGGGTAGGGTGGGTGTTATGGGGTTGTGATGTGTGGGTTTTCGAGTCCAAGGTCCATGCTCCTTCCATATTAATAGTCAGCAATCTAAGATTGTCCAACATGGCTGTCAGAAAGGGGAAAGGCTTTTGGAAAGGGGTGTTAGTGAGATGTGGTGAGATAAGGTGTGTGCAGAGTCCTTAATATTTTGGGCTCACACAACAGGCAGTTGAAAGAAAATGATTAAACTTTAGCTTGTAGCTGCTAATGTGTTTCAAAATTCTCCCAATGGCTCCACAATTAAGTCTAAACAATTGCTAAATTTTTTGAGAATTGTGATGACATGTTCTGAACACAAGGGACAGTACCACTTTAATTTTAGGTAATGATGCTAAATAATTAGATAATTAGATAATATTAGATAATTATTCATTATTTCTTATTTCCTCATTGTTTAGGAAATATTCATTTTCAAGAGTAGCACTCAATCAGCCACTAATTAATTACTTCTAAATGTTGACTTCCTTTTGTAAGTCATGAAACTTTGACATAAAGTTCATGGGTTTGTTTTTCAATCATTATTTCTTTATTTATTTCTTTATAATCTTGACAGTTTAGGCCAAGTCAAAAAAAAAAGTAGTTTCTCAGTCTGAATATTTTGAAAAAGGAAGAATGTGGGCACTTTTTTTTTACTCCGAGATGGCAAATCCAAGATGGTCGATGGAAAATGGCTACTACTTTCTCATTTTTACCAAGTAGACACATTGAAAGCAAATAAAAGAAACACTAGACATGATAAATACCATATGTATCCCCAACCACAAATGATCGAGAGAGGAATTTTACTGATGTGAGTTAGCCAGATTTTCGTACATTTTGTAAAACAAACAAAATTTGTTGAGGCAGAGAAAATGAATGCGCGAGAGGACGAGAAACTAGTATTTTTTTTTATTTGGCCTTAAATGGTAATTCACATGTATGACTGCCAATGAGTAGAAGATACATTAAATCATAATTCATGTTTATTGATGAAGTTTAGATACTGAATTAAATTTAAACTTGGCATGCAAGAAGACCCACTTAATACAACACTAATAATGAATAATTATGTTGATAATAAATTAAAAGTCATAATCTTATTATTATTATAATTATCATTTTTAATATGTGGCAAAGACAAGCCAAACCAGTCACTCGTCGCAAAAATTTTTAGTTATTAATACAGGGTTAAACAGTAAAATGAGAGCTATATTGGTAAAAGAATCATTTAAATCCGACATTTGGTTATAAAGTTAGAAGCGTTTAAACATACAACTGGTTAAAGAACAATATTTGAGAAATCGGCCTTCAAAGTTTACGATTTTGGGCATTTCTCAGGCAGAAACCATCACCAAATTGTTAAAAATTGTTGTTTTAACATTGAAAATGGGGAAAATAACAGCATATCATGATATATATATATAAGTTAGTTTAGTGCAATAAAATAGATTTCAAAAATGTTAACATTTCAGCATGTTTTGGCCATTATCTCTGAAACAGGATTTGCAACGAGTGACTAGTTTGGCTTTGCCTCATATGTAAAATTTTATATAAAATTATATTATTATTACTATATGTTTACTCTTATTATTATTAATATGAAGTAGTGATGGTGCTATATGAATAAAATATAAGTATCAAAATATTTTTCTCCAAATTTGAGATATTTTCTAGATGTTTACTATAATTTGTAATTTCCATTTTGATCTCTGTGTATTCATGCATACACTACCATGTCCGGCAAACAAGTATTAATAAGGTGTAAGTTTATACTGTACATGTGGCAAACAAAAACTTGCTTTATATATAGGCAGTAACAGCTTCTCTTGCGCAATAAGTTCTCTATCAAATTATCCGCTGTCTGCAAATTGACAAACTTCTACAAAGAGTCAGTTAGTCCCCTCTGAACTGAATATTGCATTTAAGATATTTCTACAAAACTGTAAAATTGATAAAAATTAATAAATGCTAAATTTAAAACAAAAATAACAAACATGTTCCTTACATTGTTCCAGATGTTGTTGGGACCATTGGGATTTCCTCTTCCAGCCGGAATATTTCCCATGGAATGTTGTACTTGGGTGCCATCTTACGCATTACCATGTTTCTAGGGAACAAGAAATATTCTGTAACCTATATAATTTACATCAATTTATGTTAAATATCAAAATACTATAAAAGTTGATATGATGATGTCCTGAAAAACAGTATTATTACAGAAAAGTTTCTTTATCTATCTATCCTGTATTAAATAAAGGTAAAAAATCTGGAAATTCTTTTGAATATTCATCCAAGGGAGGTGCTATACTAACTGCATATATAGAAACTCCATAATTCATAAAATACATTTAATAATTAGTTGCAGCAACGGATTATATTTGTCTTCCCTTATTTACAAACGGCTACATGTCTACAATTTGAATACATACCCAATCTACGGGAGAAAGATATCTAACACAAATTGTGCAAGAAATGAAAAAATTCAGTGAAATGTGCACTTAATCAGGACTAGTGCCAGAAAATGCATTGTTCACTTCCCTAATAAAAGTGATTTTTAGCATATGCTAAATCTGTGATTACTTATTAAGAACATATCTTAATACCCAAGTATCTTTGCACAATCATCATAATATTTCTTGGAATTCTTGACAAAGCTGAATCCATTTACATCACATACATACGATTTTCCATTTGCTCTCAATAAATCAAAACCACAAACAGTTTGCTGTAATGTAAGAAAGACATTAGTATGAATAACAAACATTCATAATTTTTGACACAATCATAGCTGTAAAATTGGGATAATAATTCTTTTCATTTGTAAATTTTCAAGATATTAGATTTACTTCAGAACTAGTAAACAAGTAATGACAGTTTACATTATTACACTTTGTACAGGTCTTAGTTAATTTCACTTCCTAGGATTTTTTAAAAGTAAAATTAGCCAAATAGCATTTAAACTAAATGAACATATAATCAAGTCGTGTTAGTTTGCATTATTACCCTTTGGAGATGTCTGGATTTCAAGTACAGTAGTAGAATAGAGTAGAGACTGCTCTGCTATGTGAAATATTCCTGGATTTTGCATCCAAAGGATGTAGGTAACTCACACTAGGATCCCCTGGGAGAGAGGATTACTCTGGGAAATGATCCAATTATGACAGAAAGTACAAAGAGTACAGAAAGTATAATCAAGAATTTGAGTCTAATGATAGATACATGAAAAGTTTTCTAACATCTTATGTTAGATCTACATGATAAGCAAAATAAAAACCATATTTATTAGTTATTAGTGATATAAAACTTTTGTTGGCAAAACTGCGAAATCTCAATGACTTACCTTGAATGCTAAGCATACTTTTCTTGCAATCAGCTTTTCCTGATTCGTCAATATCACAGGGTATCGCACTTCTTTGCCATCTTTGTCACGTTCAACTTTCCCATCAAGTGCTGGGGACTTCCTAGCTTCTGCATGTGCATAGTCTGGCCCAACAGTGTACACCTTAAATATGATATATATAATTAAAGTTGTTCTTCTGTCTTAAACAAACAACTTTATAGTCAATATTTCTATATTATTTGCAACTTTTTTATTAGAAATGTATGCATAGAAATGTATATCATAAATTTACCCTAACATGATTTTATATTTTACTATGAACTGTTTCGAAAGTTCAACATTAAGCAATTGGTGTTGCTTTGAAGGGTGCAGGGTAGAGTTGGAACTCAAGTCTGAATTTATTTACTAAGTCATCAGGCCAAAATTTGCAGAACGCTTCTGCAAACGATAGGAGAGATAAATAATAATAAAGGGAAAAAAAATTGATTTCATTGCAAATGCATGTTCACTGTGGATCATTGCAAAATTCTGTTTACAATGTACATGAAGGGGAGATGAAAAGCAATTAACAATGGGAGGAAATTATTTCAAGGAAATAGATTGCAAAACGGTTAATTACACATAAATCAAGCCAACCAGAATTACAGAAGAATAACCTTGTCATATATTGTTGTTGTATCTCAGTAAAATATGTGGTTTACATTTTAGGGGCTTCAGTATATGCCAAGCCTGAATAACAATCAATATTCAACAATAATTAGTACAGTTCCTCAATAGAACATAATGCAAAGCTCTTGGATAATGCTGCTAAGGTCACATGAAAAGAGAGCAAAATGTATGTAAACATGTAACATGTAATAACATACGTGAATGTGCAACAGGCATGTACAGTATTCCTGCCCCTGTGCTGATTGGTCATTTGTCAAGTCTGACTGACACTCAGGGAATGGTCAATTAATATTGATTGGATGTGTGATTAATATTCATTGGATGTATGATTAATATTCACTGGATGTTTGATTTCTCAACTTGATTTGTGGCTTTTCAAAGTTTCTCTAATCTTAAAAAACTAGTAAATTGGATTTAATGTGAAGTTGGGCTATGTGCTTTAAATCAGGCAAAATATATTAGAGACAACAAATAATTCTCTATAATTCCAATCTTAGTGTATGCCGTTTCACTTTCTTGATGCATTAATCTTGTTCAATTGTTAGTTTATCATTTAAGTTATTTGGTGATTGATGCACCTCTTGCTGAGTGCTGCTGATATAAATGGGGTCTGTCAATAAATTATTATTATTATCATTACTTACTGAGGATTTTGCTAAATGGTTGCCATTATTAAAATGATTAAATATTCAATAATACCTTGACATCTGTCCCGTCAGTTGGCATAAATTCTTCATAGATAAATGAACCCCGGTCTCTTAGGGAGCTGTTTGATGAGTAGACACTGCTACGACTACCAATCTATTCATATTAACATATTTTATCAAGATATTTCATCAATCTAGCTTACCAGAATATAATATATAATATAATATAACATACAAGAAGTATAACATATTTCATTAAACAACATAATGATTATCAGTACAACAAACACTGAATAGGACAAGTCCTTGGTGAAAATGGGTAGAGTAACAGTTGTAATTTAGACTGGAAGATAGGGACTTCAAATCCCATATCTATGTTTTTGACCTTTTCTTGGTCAATGTTTACCATCTACAAACACTCCACAAGGAGTGGAGGAGATTGCACATTGTGTGTTATGTTTTAACTGTTTCCATTGACAACACAAACATTTATATCAAGCTAAAAGCCTAGCGGTCAATTTCTTATTTGATTTACCCCTTCCTCATTAACCTATTAATCATCATCCTTTGTTCTGAGAACACAGAAATTCATTTTTCTTTGTTGACAATATATATAAGCAAAGTGAAACAATAGCGGTGATGTTTACAACAAACTATTACCAGGTACCTTTCTGAATAATCTCTGGCTGCCTCCACCTGCAGACTGAGGGTAGTAAATGTATACGTTGTGATCTTCAGCATCAACAGGTTTCTCAACAAAAGGCTTCTGGAACGTCATGCCACAAACTTCGATTTGATCATCATTGTCAGATATTTCTGAGGAAAAAAATAGGTTTATCCAGGTAAATTAATTATGAAATACACTGATTTACTGGCTCTCAGTCAAATGGATAATTGTATTCAATTACTACTTGCACTACTTTATTTTCTACGTAAATAACATTGAAGTGTTGTGCAAAGATTGGTTGGCACACACTTTAGCTAATTAGGAAAAATTATGAGGCATTACAGATGCTGATGTTCTTACCTTCTTCTTCTGGAACACTGTTAATATCTCGGTTTAAAACTGCATACCTTGGTAACCCTATGCTTTCTTCCTTCAAAATCCTATAAACTTCCCTCCTGCAAAAAAGAAATGGTAGAGATACCCATCAGATACAACTTGAACAAAACTTAATCAAATTAGACACATTTAAAACAAATCATTTTATATTTGAGACTTATAATTTACTGGTTGCAGGTCAATCAACAGTTTGAATTCATTGGTCTATAAGTTTTCATCATGATATAAAACCAAGACATCACAATCATTAAAAACATGACAATAGCATATTTATTACTGGTGATTAGAACATAATTATTACTAAGAACACGATCATAGTCCTAAGTCTGCACCACCACAATCACAGCTGTAATTAGAGACATTTGCATAGAACACATTAAAAAACACTGCCCCACTCCCCCCTCAACTACGACCATCAATATCATCACCACAAACATATTTACCGGTCTCTTAACTTGTACTGGCTAGGGAGATCATTAATAACATAGGTGTTCCTAAGTTGAGAATAGGCAATTGCTTTGTCCAATGGAAACCCAGTAGAGAAGAACGAGATCAGGCAATCACAATGCGGCCAGTCCTCCACCGGTTCCTTCAAGATCATCTCCTCATCAAAAATATCAATCGTGATGCCTTCAAATTTTCCAAGCCGATCTAAAATCTCATGCATTGGTTTTGAATGCGATTTCTTTTTCATGGCACAAATTCCGATAATAATTTTAATGCTGTCTGTGCTACTCATGTTCCCACGACTAAAACTGTCACAGGAGTCCTATGGAAAAACAAAAGACACCAAAACAAGTGAACAGATATAATTGGAAAAACAAAGAAAAGAAGAACTCCAAGGCAGCACCCAAACCTCAGTATGGGGATATTCCCTTGCCGCTGCAGGGATTTATCAAAATGTACCCTTTCCAGCACCGGTTGAGTTTTGGCCACAGGGATGCCTATCCTGGCAGCACTATAAAAAAGCTAGCTGGCAAGGAATGGAAAAAGAGGAATCAAAAACATGTTGATTTATAAATAAAACTTTAAAAAAAAAATGGATGGCAACTTACGTATAGATAATGGCAAAGAATTCCAATATAAACCAATATTAATGTATGGATCTTACCTCACTACTGAATGACTGAGCCACTGCCTCCTCACCACCCAGAAAGAAGGAGGCTTTTGGTGGAGCTGCTAATCCTTCCTCCATTGGGAAACACGTTAATTCCTCAAGTAATACCTTATTAAATAGAAGTAAAAAATATAAATATATTACAATTTTCCTATTTGTTTTTGAAGTTGATAGTATAAGAATAAAAACCATTTAAGGCTAACTGTAAATAAAGACAATAAGCAAAAAAAACATTGATAAAAATCTGTATGGCAAACATTATCCTGATGATGAACACAAGATAAAATAATTTTTTTAGTTAAAACACAAACAACCCAAACAGCTGGCCATGCCTAGACTAACATTTATAGCTCACCATTTTCAATGTGTGGCTGATTTCGAGATCAATTAAAATACAATGACAAAATCTAGGCAATACAGCAATAAGACCACCAACTAGAAAAGAACCTCACTGCTATAACTAATTTAAGAGATGAGGCAATAGTTGGTTGTTCAGTGACACAATGCTCAGAGCTTTGTCAACACAGTTGTCCGACAAGTTTCCTGGCAGATCAGCTTTCACTTTAAGTATTAATGATATTATATCATGAACCAATCAGAGAATAAGAGCTTGTGTTGCAAAAACTTTATTGCCTGACTAATTAGGATCAGATACAATATTTAGAGCCTTGAATCAGGGGCTCAAAATACTGGCAGAGTGGTGATTTTTGTTGCTTTTCATTTAAATTTCCTTATCTTTGTTTCTTTGGTTTAGTTAAATAGCCCTATATTGTTTGCATTGAGCTAAAAATGAATTGCCTACTTGTTTATTTGAGTATATTTTTAGTTGAAAATCAGAATGGTAAAAATTGTTCTTATCAGTGGTGGTGCAGGGATTTGCCCAATCGGGGTCTGATGTCCCTGACAGCAGTGGCGGCGCCAGCTAGGGGAGGGGGGCAGCAGGAACTTAAGACCCCCCCACCAGACAGGTCAAAAACCCCCATCGAACAAACCTTGTCAGGCAGTCGGACTAAAAAATATATAAAAATAGGCCCACGCCAAGCCAACACTTATCTGTCACAATCAGAGAGTGTCATTTCTGGCCATCCGGAAGTTCCTATTCTTAAAAAAATCTCATTTGGATGGGGGAACGCCCTCTCAACCCTTCCCCCAGCTCGGACCTACGAGCCCAAGTCCCCACTGTCAGACAGCTCAGCACCCTCCCCCCCAGAAAATATATCCTAGAGCCACCACTGGCCGACTACGATAGTGTTAGTGGACGTGTTCAGGCATCGCTAAAAATCTCATTGGAAACTGACAATTTAGGGGTTTCAAAGGCTTATTTATTCAAATTTAGGGTCTACTAATATGTAAAAAATACCTTCCTGACAATTTTTTTTTTTCTATACGGTTGGGACAGGGTCTCCCCAAAGGGCCCTGCCCTCACCACCCCACCACCAACTATCTTTGATGTTTAACTTAGCCTCTTATACAAAGGGGCGGGCTTAGTGGAAAGGTCCAATTATTACAGGATGGAACGATACATATAGGCCAGGGGTGGGCATAAAAATCGGTCGGATGGCCAAAGTGAATTTTTGATTTAACATCGAGGACACCTCCAAGCACTGCTTTTACATCACTTTATTGTCAGTTTCAATGTTACTTTTTACATATGATTGGTTAAGACAGTAAAAAACAAGGTGTCTTCTAGACAATTTTGATTGGTGGGCCGCAAACATAGGGTTTTTAATTTAGTGTCACGGGCTGCAAAAAAATCGCTGACAGGTCGCTTGTGGCCCGCAGGCCGCACTTTGCCCACCCCTGATATAGGCATACCGAGTCTCTTATAGTACTACTACTAGGCCTAGTAGGAGGGTTTAGGAAGTGAAAGTTGGGGGAAGCTAAATAGGCCTAATTGTTTTTAGTTTAAAAAAAAACCTGTCAGAGGAATTTAACCCAGGATTGGAAGGTAAGCATCTTCATCACTAAGATATACAAGTCTAATCAAGAGACAGGTAAACTATTCCTATAGCCTTTCTTTTATTCAGATCATATAGACCTAAAGCTGAAGTAAGGCCTAGGCCTAGCTAGAAACCAAAAAATGTCATCACATCTTTAATCATTAACATGGAAACAAGACAAAGGTTTATAAATGAACAATCAACATTTAGGCAGACTATTTTATATAAGGATTCTTTGTGATCTGATCACTGATGGATATTTATATAACTTACACAAATCAACACACAAAAATGATTACAATAGAAACCAAGATCGAGACTTCCTATCTAGTCTGCAGCAGCCCAATACGATGAAGACGCGCTGGACTGGGCCTTGGCTTGGTTCTGTGGCTTGCTTTATCTGGCTAGGCCTAGGTTATTTAGCTACAGAAATAAAGTGATGTACACTCTTCCCCCAATCAACATCTACATCTGAAGGTATAGTTGCTACATTGTGTCACATTATGAAAATATCGTTGAAAAATAAACTGGCTGTGTAAAGAAAAACAACAGTAAGCCAACACTAGGCCTAGCTATCGGATAATTCACGGCCCATGTGACTGCAATATGCTGGCCATCACTGCTGCTTCTCATGCCGTGGTGGTGACTAAATTTCGAGCGGAGAGACCGAAAGAGTCGAGCGGATATAGAACTTTGCGCGCTGGGAGTACGTACAATCTGGCGATTATGCGTCCGGAACGTTTGATGCTACGGTTATAAATCTGGGGTTGGTGTTCATTTTTTTGAAATGTTTCACAGTAGAATTATAAGCCCAAAATATTTGCATGATGTTTAAAAAAGGCGTCCTTATCTATGCCTAATCTCCAATAACAAATGACAGGGTTCACACAGAGTGGCGTGCAAATACATATTGAAGTGCTATGTACTAGGGACCTAATTGATTATGCTGTTTTCTAATTTGCCTTCATTTTTTATATGGACAGTGTCTGAAATAATTATTATTTTAAGGAAAAATAATTAAATTGTAAATATTGATTATTTTGAATTACTAAAACATTTAATTTTTTTTTTTAAATAATTCGTAATGCAATATAAAATTTGCTGGGTTTCCAGGCCTGCTGTAGCCCTGGAGGTTCAATTTCATGTAGGCCTACTCAGGAGCCATCTACATTGCTTTTGGTAGAAAACAGTATGATCGAACTTTTCCTGTGATCCTCATTGCACGGCTTTTATTAATTAGTGATTGACAAAGTTCTGCATAACAATTCCATATTTTTGAACAAACTGTGAGCTAATAATTAATAGTAATTTAATTTTTTTTTTTAATTCAATGAGAAAAAATATCTCCGTCAACCAACGGACAGTTAAATACAGTAATAACTTTCCTCTATTCTTTTTTGCATAGACCCTTAAATTGGCTGGTAATGATAAATGTACTACTTACTTCATTTGGTATTTGGTATTTGCCATTCCATGACAGGAATATGGCTGTCATCGACTGATAAACAGTTGACTAAGATACACTGCTGATATAAATGCTACTACCGTGCATTAAAATGCACGTATGGATATTTATATAAAATGTCTGTAAATCAGCAAAAACCAATGTATTCGACTTTCTAGTTGGGAGCTAATAACATATATGATCAATTTAAATGAGTTATTCAAAATTATTATTTCATTTTTTATTTATTTTTTTTCTTTCGGCAGACAGTGCACAATTAAGACTCTATGGTTAACAACCCTATAAAAGTAATGGGTAATTACAGAGGGCAGCAGTCATGTTTTCCAACCTGTCACGCTATATAGAAGAGACAGAAATAATGGTCTTAGAGGGGGAGGAGTGCTCATGCTAGTTAATTACAACCTTTTATCCCAACGTCTTTATCACCTAGAAAAGGATAACTTAGAGGCCATCTTCATTGAGATTACCATTTCTAGAAGAAAAAAGATCATTCTTGTGTTGGGTTATATTCCTCCTAAATCCAAACTTGCAGTTTTTGAAGAACTAAATCAATCTTTAGATGATATATATCTTAATTACCCTGGCTGTGAACTTATTCTTTTAGGTGATTTTAATCTTCCAGGTATAAAATGGTCAAAATATACAACTGCAACTACCAGCAATAATATTGAACAATATTTCGTGAATTCAATTATTAATAATTTTCATCTTTTTCAATGCAGTATGTTTCCCTCTCACTGTAATAACATCCTTGATCTTGTCATATGTAGTCAACAAGATATATCCAACTCAGTTGCTTGTGGTTATATTTTTTAATCTGATCATAATTCAATTACTTTTAGGTTTCACTGTCGTCCTAGATTTTATATTAACAACATCAACAACAGGACTCTATATAACTACACGAAAATAGATAAGGATCTTTTAATTAACACGCTTTTAAATGTCCCATGGGATACTCTAAAACTCTGTGAAAATGTTAATGATGCTGTTGATGATTTTATTTCTTTGGTCTTAGCAGTTATCAAAGATGTTGTGCCAGTAGTAAACCTAGACGGAGAGTACCACCATGGTTTGATGTTGAATTACGTAATCTTCTTCGTAAGAATTAAAGGTTATTCAGGTTAAAAAAGAAACACCCTAATGCATCCAATAATGATAATTTTTCAGCCACTAGAGCTGAATTCAAGAGACTTTCTCGTAGTAAATACTACAGTTACTGTATGTTACCAAATTATCAAACGATATGCAAAATTAAACCTGTAAACTTGAAACATGATGATACTACTGCCTCTTCTCCTGAGGAGAAAGCTAATTTATTTAATAAATACTTCAGTTCTGTATTCAATAATAGCGATCCAAAGCCTATTTATCCTGACCTTCCAGATTATGACTTAGACAATATTTCTACTTTTAATATTGATATTTTACGTATTGAAACACTTTTACGTGAAATAGATGTAAAAAAAGTCATCTGGTAGTGATAACATAAGTAATATTATTCTTAAGCTTGGTGCTCCTGCCATCTCTCAACCTTCGTGTATGCTCTTTAACTGGTCACTTAGTGAAGGTACGTTCCCTAGAGCATGGAAAATGGCCAATGTACACCCTGTCCATAAAGGTGGTAAAAGAAATGAGGTCTGTAACTACAGGCCTGTTTCTATTGTCCCTACTATTGCTAAGATATATGAACGTATCCATGATGTGTTATATGACCATGTTGTTCCTGCACTTTCAATTTGCTCAGCATGGATTTATTCCTAAGCGTTCTTGTACTACTAATTTAGCTAACTTTTTAATTGTTGCATATAATGCTCTCAATAATAACTCTCAGTGTGATGTAATATATACTGACTTTTCAAA